CTCCCAGAACTGCTTCTGTGTACAACTGTTGGCGCAAGCTACATTAAAGTGATTATTACGTTTTGAATATGGATATTTTTCTTACAAAAACGCATGGATTAGCTAGAGGAGGCCTTTGTTCACCCCCCGGAGCCGTGTGAGACACTTTTTTTTATGGATGGGCGCTTTTTATTTAACTTATTTTGGACTGATGCATGCAACACCCACTGAGTGGCATTAAACAGCTTGAAAGATCAAAGACAATTTTTAATATAACTCCGACTGGATTCGTCTGAAAGAAGAAAGTCATACACACCTAGGATGACTTGAGGGTGAGTAATTTCTGGGCTAATTTTAATTTTTGGGTGTCCCCAGGACACCGGGGATACACCCCTACTCTTTACGAGAAGTGCCATGGGATTTTTAGTGACCACAGATAGTCAGGACCTCGGTTTAACATCTCATCCGAAGGATGGGATATATATTTGAAATTAAATGCACTAACAATTTATTGATGTCAGTAGATTCAGGGAATAGTGGTATTTTAGAAATTCTTGATATTACCATGACTTTTCACACAGAAGATCATGGTATTCTCTTAGACAGCTCAAGTCAGTGTGTGAGGATTTGGGGGCACAAAAGTAGTTATTTTCTTATCTGAGGAAGAGAACAGAGACGAGAAGCTTTTAAATTAGGGAAATTTACTTCCTTTACTGTCCTCATCTCCTCTGGGGTTCCTCAGGGTTCTGTTCTTGGCCCTGCTTTGTTTTCTTGATGTATGCTTCTATTGGGATTGATTTGCATACTATTGTTATGTGGAAAATACTTAGTTGTATCAACCATTAAAGTATAATGATAATTCTACACTAACTTTTCTGCTTGATTGTCTGGATGATGTCAAAAGATGGATGGCTGTTAACTTCCTCCAGTTTAATAAATCAAAGTAAAGTGATAGTGTTTTGCCCATCTGATTTAGCCAAACAATTAAACATCTTATTCCGTTTTCCATTAATTTAAATGCTCATGTAAAGAATCTTTGTGTACCTTTTTTTCTTTATATTCAGAGCTCGTTATGTGATTGATGCAAATCCGAGATTTTTTTTTCTTTCTATTTCAGCACTGCTTTGTGTACAGTTGTTACTTTGGGAAACAGTTTTATTTCTCCTGACCTGCAGATCTTGTATGGCTTTTGTAGGCTTTTGGGTAAATAAAAGATAGAAACCCTTTTTTCCCTTAAAAAAATCAAACCAGTTTAAACTGGAACTCCTTACCCTCGAAATTCACTCCCCGGAAATTCAGTCCCCATCATCTCCAGCCATGAGTATGTGAAGCTTTAACCCTAATTCTGTTGCTCAATAATAAACAATAAAAAAAGTATTGTTGGGAAATATAATTAGCAATCCTTGTGAAAAAAAACTAGAATATGATTTTTTCCTTTCAAATCATCTTCAGACAGAGAAAAGAAGAAATTAAGATGTGCTGAAACCTGCAGTCTTAAAATTGTGCCCCTCTTGGTTTTTTAGTCTTTGCATTATGCTACTAAAATATAAGACCCATAATCCTGTGCCTTCAGTTCAGTAGATGGTTGGGGGGGGGGTCTTCTGATGCAGTTAAAAGAAATACATTCATTTACATATATATTATTATTTTCAGCTTAAAAATGAAGGTTCTCTATTGGCATTTATGGTTCCATGAAGAACCTTTAGCATCCATGCAATCTTTCCATTGAACAAAATGTTCTTCATAGTGAAAAAAAGTTTATTTAGATTATTAAAATGTTTCTTTTAAGAAATGTCTCTTGTTTTTAAGAACTGGTTCTTCTGTGGAATTGAAAAAAAAAAAGAAGGAATTAAGATCATCACATTGTCTGCCATGCAGGCCTTCAACTTCAACAACTCTTTTATACAGCTTATCAGAAAATAATATAATAAATATCTGACGGGGTCTTGGTTCTATCTATTGGTTGTTGATTGAACGGAGGAAGTTCTCAAAGTAAACTCGCAGTCAATTCTTTCTGAACCCGCAAACTTGGACCCCTTGGTTTAAACAGCAATGACGGGAAATGAGACACACGTAACGGCCTTGATGAGTGATCGCAGCCTCTAAATCAGTATTATCACCAGTTAGAGGTTGTGAAATAGGGAACATTTTATTAACTGGTGTGCCATGTATTGTTTATAGCCAAAAACTAGTGAGATGTGGAGGAGGGTGTTTTTTCCACCACATCATATTTAGTAGAAAAAGGAAGGAAATAAAATTTGTTTCTTAATTTGTTACTTTACATCACCCTGCTACTGTTTTGTTTTGTGTCTTGTGTTGTATACCTGAATTTATGCAGAGAGAACATGGACTTCAGACCTTTACTGATCATACTACTGCACTTTCCAGGTAAGAGTATTGTGTACCAGTAGATTACAGTTTTATTGTTTGCCAATATTATTCAAATGTACATTTCTATACATTTCCATGTAAGACAGTTACTTGTTTATGCTTGTAGTATATGCAATGTCATTGGATTGCACTTGTATATACACTAGTTAAGACTTGTGTAACTACAAACTTTGTGGCTTAACTAAATCTTTTACATTTGTATATGACAGTTAATCAGTGTCAGTGAAAAAATACTACATAATATTTAAAATACATTTGCATTGTTGAACACTAGAAATTTTACCAAATTAATTCATATTTTTCCAAATTTTCCAACATAGTTCAGAATGGTATTCTAA